TTCCCTCCCTGCACCAGGCTGGACAGCTCCCCTGCGGAACCCAGTAAGCACCTAGGATTTTCACCTCCTGGCCGGGAAAAAAATCAGAAAATACTGGGCATTTTAGGTGTCCGGTGTTTTCTGAATTTTTTTACCAGACAGGAGGTGAAAATACCAGACTGTCTGGTTCAATACTGGACACTTGGCAATCCTAATGGTTTTATATGTTTCTACTTGATTTTTAATGCCCTTGAAGACACTTAAAAAGAAAACTTTTGTGATAATAAACTATTTATTTTGTGTGTGTGAATCTAGTGAAGCTAACATTAAAATGTCTCCTTTATTTTTTATTTATGTATATTTTTATTATATAAGAATTCCACAGCTTTAGAGATTAGAAGCCAGATGCTTGCCTGGTGTACATAACTATTGCTCTACTGAAATTAGTGGAGTTACACCAATTTACACAAACTGAAGATCTGGCTCTATTTCTTATTAGGTGCTCTTGGATCCTTGTTCAAAGGATAAGCAAAAATCCTAACCAGGATAGACGTCTCATTGGCTATGTCTAGACTGCAGGCTTCTTTCGAAAGAGGCTCTTTCGAAAGCATCTTTTGAAAGAGCCTTTTTCAAAAGATTGCGTCTAGACTGCAGGCGGATCTTTCGAAAGAGCAATCCGCTTTTTCAAAAGAGAGCACCCAGCGAGTCTGGATGCTCTCTTTCAAGGAAGCCCTATTTACATTGAAGAACGCCTTCTTTCGAAAGAGGAACTTTCGAAAGAAGGCGTTCTTCCTCGTGAAACGAGGTTTACCACCATCGAAAGAAAAGCCGCGTTCTTTCGAAATAATTTTGAAAGAACACGGCTTGAGTCTGGATGCAGGGGAAGTTTTTTCGGGAAAAGGCTACTTTTCCTGAAAAAACCCCTGAGTCTGGACACAGCCATTTTGAACTGCACTCCTGCGATGGGATAAAATTTAACCTGTACTCCTTTTGTAAATGCTACAAAAATCATAACCATTCTTAAGTTGCGAGAGCTTTTGTGTGAGTTTGTTCATCAGATGTAAGGGATTTTAATCCATCTTTATTTGTTATCCACTAGATTCTGCCAATTTTAAAATTAGACTACATTAGACTAAATACATTGACCAAAATGCCTGTCAAATATTTGCCACTAATGTATTGAAAATAACATATTTATCTATTGTTAAATTTACTGCAGTTTTTTTTCTATTCTTATTGCCACTGAACTGCAATATATTTTAGTTATTTGGAGGTAGTTACATAGAAACTAATAATTGTATTTCATGATGGACGAGAATTTACTTTCCCCCTTTATATCCAGTAGTTTGCAGCATATTTAACTTGCCTAAACTATCATTCCTCTTAGTATATTTGAACCAGTTGACATTTATATGTACTTTGCATTTTGGATGTAAATGGAAAAGTTTAATGGCTTTGAATCTTGAATCAAAACATTCAGATTTCTCTTTTGCCTAGCAACATGACAGACACACATACTAAATATTTACAGACAAGAAAGAAATGAATACTTATGCTGATTTTGACCTAACATTTTCAAAAATATCTTCAGTACTTGATTAAACATTTAAACTCTGAAATAGGAAATGCATATCACTTAGAAAGCACAAAATATGGAAACATGACTAATTGTAAATACTCGTTTTAGAACCTTATCGCTTTTTGGGGTTCTATGCTCCTCTGTGTTCCTTCAGCTGCTACATATTTGAGTTTTGTTAAGAAGAATATGACTGCAACCATTTATTCTGATAGTTAATTTTAAATAAATAGATTTATGAGAGTAATAAAAGGTAAAAACTGTATAATTCCACAAATCCATTGCCATCAGAAGTATTGGGCTAGATCCCTAAGGGGAACTTCAGTGTTATAATACCTAATGTTTAATTGTTGTGACCCCAGGTGACTTTCATAGCCCCACATAAGGCATCTGGCTCTCCATATGATGCATTGGGAGAGCTACCAGCCTAAAAATGAGATTGACTAAAGCCAGTATGCTAACTATATATTAAACTAGCCAGGAAGAAATGCTGAGAAGATTATGACAAAATCCACACCTTTCAAAAGGAATGTCTCCCTCCACTTATGATTCGCAGACTTGAACTCTTGCCTGGATTTAGGCAACCTAAGCCAAATCAGCCTTTCGGTGTGTATGTCTTTAAACCACACAGAATCATTCCTATTCTCTCTTTCCTACTGCCTATAATGCAACATTTGAATCATTCACCTGGGTGGTAGATGACCTGGATCAAATTTCTGCTCCAAATCAGGCAGAAAGGGGGTTTGAACCTACCTCAGCCACCTCCCTTGTGTGTGCTTGAACCACTGGGCTCTTTGGAATTAGGTGCCTAAAGTGCTTCTATCTCCTTGTGACTCTAATCCATGGTGGTCTCGGTTTTGTATGAAAGAAAGCTTACTGAGGTGTCCGCTACAAAACCAGCTTTTGCCAACAGTTTCTACACTTAAATATAAGTGCTAATGTAACCCATACACCTGCTGGCTGTGGTTCACTGTCCCATCTGGTGTCACTTAGACCACTTACAGAGAGAGAGAATGAGTTAGCTGTACAGCCTTAGCTGAGAGCCAGCTGGCTTTTATCTCATGAGGTAAAGGCTCATGCACTAAGCTTCAGAGGTCCCAGGTTTAGTTCCATCTGTTGGCATTACACTAACAATAAACTCACTGCTGTGTATAACTACAAACCATCTGTAATCTTCTTGGAAAACCCTATCCTTGCCACAATGAATGTAGAAGCTCTTTACTAGCTGTCAGGAACACTATCCCTGATGATGTCACAGCACACCTGGTGGCTGAGCTATGTGACTTTGTCCTCACCCACAACTATTTCCAATTTGGGGACAATTTATACCTTCGAGTCAGCGGCACTGCTCTGTGAATCCGCATGGCCCTATAATATGTCAAAATTGTTATAGCTAACCTTGAACAACATTTCCTCAACTCTAGTCCCCTAACATGCTTCCTCTATTTACACTACATTGATGACATCTTCATCATATGGACCCATGGGAAGGAGATCCTTGAAGCATTTCACAGAGATTTCAACAATTTTCACCCCACTATCAACATCAGCCTGGATCAGTTCACACAAGAGATCCACTTCCTTGATACTACAGTGCAAATAAATGATAGTCACATTAACACTCCACCCTATTCCTACTGCCTGTTATTCTTACCTACATGCCTCCAGCTTCCATCCAGGACACATCACATGACCGATTGTCTACAACTAGCCACTTAGGGTATGTCTAAACTACATTCGTCTGTCGAAAGAGGGATGTAAATTAGACAAATCAAAAGTGCAAATGAAGTGGGGAATTAAATCCTTTCCAGCAGCCACACATCACACCTTAGATACGCTCAACCAGGAACCTACCTCTGCAACAAACCCCTTTGCCAACTCTGTCCACTTATCTCTACAAGCAACACCATCACAGGACCTAACCACATCATTTGCATAATTGCATCACAGCGGTCTTTCAAAAAAGAGTTTCGAAAGTGAAATCACAGTCTAGACAGTTCTTTTGGGAAAAAAAACCCTTTTTCGAAAGATCCCATACTTCTGAGGAAAAAAGGTTTGTTTGTTTTTCTGAAAGAACCATGTCTAGACTGCAATTTCACTTACGAAATACCCTTTTTGGAAAGACTGCTGTGATGAGATTATGCAAATGAAGTACAGGATATTTAAATCCCCGCTTCATTTGCACTTACAATTTGCCTAATTTACATCTCTCTTTCAACAGAGGGATGTAGTTTAGACATATCTTAAGATACAACCGGATTTGATCCAATCCCACAGACAGAGACAAACATCTATAGTTTTCAGGCATTCTGCAAGCTTAAGTACCCACCTGGAGAAGTGAGGAAACAGATTGACAGAGCCAGACAAGTACCCAGAAGTCAACTACTTCAAGAAAGGTCCAACAAGGAAAATAATGAAACACCACTGGTTATCACCTACAGCTTACAGCTTAAACCCCTCTAATGCATCATTGACAATCTACAACCTGTCCTGGAAAATGATCCCTTACTCTAACAAGTCTTAGGAGACAGGCCAATCCTCACCTACAGACAAGCCCCGATCCTGAAGCAAATCATTTCCTGCAGCCACACATCACACCTTAGAAATGCTCAGCCAGGAACCTACATCTGCAACAAACCCCGTTGCCAACTTGGTCCACATAGCTATACAAGCAACACGATCATAGGGCCTAACCACATAAACCACAACATCGGGGGCTCATACAACTTCACATCCTATAAAGTGATATGTGCATCAAGTACCAGAAGTGCCCCTCTGCCATGTATATTAACCAAACCAGACAGTTTCTACGACAAAGGATAAATGGACACAAATCAGACATCATAAATGGTAACACGCAGAAATCTGAAGAGGAACATTTTAATCTGTCTGGTCACTCAATCATTGATTTAAAAGTAGCCATTCCTCTACAAAGGAATTTCACTAACCAATTAGTGATGGCATAGAAAAAGACAGGCATGTAGTTATCATAGAAATGGCTAGTTGTGTGACCTACATCATTCTGAGTGACATATGCTGGGATGACATGAAATGAGACTAGATTATAGAGGTATGCAGAGTTGTAGTGTTTCACATAGTTTTTTGTATTTTGCAAATACGGGAAAATCTGTGGTACTGTCTCAGATGCTGCAATACCATGTCAGAGCAAAAACTGCTGTTTGCTGTGACTAAGAAGTTCATGTTACTGTGTTGAGAAACAAACGGGTAAACAGACAATTTTCTGGTATTTGCAATGATTTTTTCCATTTTTATTAAATTTGCAGTCTTATCTTTTAAAGCCCATATTAAAAATGGGAGGGAACAGTCTGTAAATGTGAGGGACTAGCTGAGAAAAGTACCCATAGGCCAGCATTACAGATTAAAGTTTTATAAGTGGAAATGGAAAGTAGTCTGTATCACACATTACAAAATGATTTTCTTTTTCAGGGTGCTCCTAAGCCAATTGCCATTGAGCCTTGTTCAGGAAACAAAGCAGCAGTCCTCACTGTATTTCTATGTCTACCGAGAGGATCATCAGGAGTTCCACCCCCTGGTCAATCAGGTAGGAGTCGCATTAGTAATCATTAAGATTTTGATCCTATAAAACATCCTGCCTGGAAATAACCCCAATGTAATGGAGTCAAGGTGGCATTTCGGTCTGCCAGACAAGTCGATTATGGGACCAGGACAAGTAGATAATGGTCAGTTTTGTATATAGCTGATAATTTTTCATTAATACGATCCCAGTTTAAATTTAATCTGACATCTCAAGAGAAATGACCATGTATATTTCATTCTAGTGAGCATTCTCCACTCAGCAGCTGAGCCCATCAGTTTCTTTCAAGTTTCTTTGAACCGAGAGAAATAAAACAATCCTGACATTACAGAATCCATTGGGTTTGCTGTGTATTTCCAGTTAGTCCTTTCAACCCCTTTCAGTCAGAATGCTAGCATTTCCGAGAATGCCAGCAAAATGAATGCTAGGGATATGTGTGTGTGTGTCTGTTTCATTAGTGAGGTGTTCACTTTGGAAATCATCCCAGATCACTTTAAATTGGCATTCCTATTATTAGTGAGTATTTCCCATCATAATCCACCTCATCTTATTTGTGCCAGATTGTTCTACAAAACTGTGGGTTGTGTCTTCTTACAAAATGGCCTTGAACAATAGTGCTGTGTACCCCATTAATCCCTTTGAATGCTTAAGTATAAAATATATTATATTATATGGAAAATGGCCATGACAGAAGACATAGTAGAGTAACCTTGTACAGATCAGATCAGGTGGATTATCCTGGGTGTTGTTTCCAGGTAATGGAAATGCTGTTTCAAAATTCACTGCGATGGTTTCCAAAATAACTACCTCCATAATGAAAAGTAAGCTATATAGTATGTTCACACATACTGCTGTATGCTTGACCGTTTTGCTTATGAATAACTTGTATTCTTAAATAGCCAAAACTATATCCTCTTACCTTTTAAAAGTCCATTTGAAATGATAAAGTATTGAGTAGTGATGATGAGCAGAACTGGTTGCCCAGTGAAGAAATCAGCAGGGCCAGTACCTAATTCTCCCCCTTTTGGACTGATTACTATCTGTTACATTAAAAATTCCTTTCTCACCTTTAGCAGTGGGATGAGGACTTAGTTTTTCAGATGCTGCTGCTTTTTGGTGTTGGAATATCTTTTCTGGAAGTATATTATGTACATAAGGTGCCATGATGGAGGAATGGAGATCAGGGAGAAGGATGCACAGAGTATAGCTAGTTCACATTTTAACAAAATGAAACAAAGACATAAGCATGATTAAAGCTCTTATTTGTTGTCTTCTCAAGACAGAAATCTATTATAAGAAAATATTATGATAAAAACATGTTTATAAGTGTTTTTTGTTTATTTACACATGAAGTTAATCTGTAGTAGAAATTGTATTTGGCAAGTTATTTTTGAACCAACTTTTCTTCACTTTTCTCTTTCAAAAGATAATCGCCACACAGATGTTCTGTGTTTCACTGGTCACCAAAATAATGTAATTTCCAAAATAGCAGTTCGGTATAAAATGTGGGTGCACCTTTTTGAACATTTAATTTTACATCATTTATATGGAGTACACCATATTTATGTTCTTCCAGTTGAAAAATGGCATTGTCTCCTGCTTCTGCTTTATTTTATTGCTTGTTTTACCTTCTACTAGCTTCACAAGCATATATTTCAACAATATTCCTTTGTTTATTGCTAGATTCTTTGTCAGCCTTTTAATGTTTATAAATCTGTGAAATTTTTAAATCCCTTCCGCAGCTTTCATTTTGTTCAGGGTCAAAGGAGAGCAAAACTGCTTGATGGTTGCAACTGTGCTGATTCATCCATTAGAGTATATTGCTATAATCTTTTTTCTTAAGTGTAATGAATTTTGGTATTGGTGGACTGCTATGTATGTAGTCATGCATAAGGTAGACAGAAGCTATTATGCAGGTTTCTTGGCATACCTGTAGCTCTGCTAATTCATTTCATTCCTGTCCTGCAGCACTACCTGCTGTTTCATTCTTGGGCTTCCCGGGAGCAGACACTACCAACTGTGCCAAGCTGTTTGAAATTATATGGAGCTTTGCGCTGATAACATATGCTTGCTACGCAGTTGGTTTCCCTTAAGATCGAAGCTAGGTTAAAACAGTAATGTTTAGGTTGAGGGAAATTGTATGTTCAATAATTCAATACCAAATAATTTTAGAATACTGTGTTACTTGTATATAACTTCCCTAGAGCTCCTTACAATATTTAGAATAAAACTGTCACTTTTTCAAAATTATAAAATATGACAATAATGTTGGTTCTCATTTTGTGACAAAAGAATGTGGGGTTTATTACTTATTAAAGTTTTATCATGGGATTCATAATTTTTCATTCTGGTTTCAGATGGCCAGGCAAAATTCTTATTGAAGTCAGCACAGTTGTATCCCTGCCTTTGACTGGAGGCGTCAGTCCAGAGGCAGAGTTTCACTTTTTTTTCATGCTGCCCTTTGACAAATGTTTTGCTGTAAAGTGAGCCTGTTTTGAAAATGTAAAACTATCCTTCATCATTAGTTAAACTAACCAACACCATTAGTTATGAAATAATGCATGTGGCATGTTACCCACATCATTGCCAGCAAGCAGGAGAACAACTTAAACAGTGAACTGTGTAGGCTTTGGACTCTACACAGGGAAAATAAATAAACCAACCACCCAACCAACCAACCATCCCTTCCTGGGAGGCATTATGACTTCGCTTGGAAGTTGAGTGCATTCAGATGCTCATAGGAAATTCTCAGTCCTTCAGAAGAGCAGGCTCTCCTTGCCCATCACATAGAATTTTGTCAAATTATGTGCTGATTTCATGACACTCCACCTACAAGCCTCGGTTGATGTAACCAAACTCCTTTATTTGTGATTTAAAATAGACTATGATTAAATACTTGTAAAAAAAAAGGCAGTAAACTGGAGGAATCAGAGATTATTAGCTAAAACTCACTTTAAAAAAAATAAGGCTTTTTCAGTAAAGTTTAACTTACTAGTCACTTTGCTAAAAACTTTGGATGCCCTTATAATTGCCATCTTGTGTGTTGACATACAAGTACACCAAGCCTCAGGAATGTAAGAATGGAACAGGATCTAAACAGTTTAGTTGGCCGTATATTTAAAATAACAGTGATGGGAGGTTCACCCCACAGAAGCCCTGAATGGGGTAATATGGGTCAGCATGGCCCAGTTAACCTTACATGTTGCACCTGGAAGGAACCCAATGAATGATAAGCATTGATTGCATATGAAGTCCAGCTGGGAAAGGAGAAGGGCTAGGTATATAAAGTTAGAAAATGAGACCAGGTAAGGGCTACAGGGAGGAGGTCAACAGTCACTTCCTAGATGAAAGAGAATGGGCCAGGATCAAGGAAGAAATCCAGAGAGAGTGTGTAAGCACTGAGGTCCTGTCCTGGACTAGGTTGTCTCAAAAGAGGCCTAAAAGGGCCATAGTGTGAGCAGCTGAAGGAAGGAGGCTCAAGATAGGGCAGGAACTACTTCTGAGATCTAGCCACAAGGTACATGTGGGATGAATGGTACCTCTTCACATAATCACTTATTAAAAATAAATTTAGTCTGGATTTGAGGAGTAATGAGAACCAAATCCCTAGCGAGGGATATCACTAAGGTATAGATCAAGGAAGAATTTCTGTGATAGAAATTAATTTCTGAGTTGCAGATTTGCTGAACAGGTCACACACTTTCTCTAGAAGTACATTAGATAAAAGCGTAATAAGTCAAAGAATCAACATCCTATAGTTACAATAAGAGCACTTATTTGCACGTGTGTCTCAATAATCAAATAGAACATGCTTATTAATGAAAAATCTTTTTAATAAAATAGTTTTAACAGTGGGAGTTCTGGGATTCATCTAAGTTTGAGAATCCTACTTAGGGACTTCTTGTTGCAATGCCTGTAATTATAGATACCAGATGTAAAGTTAAGTAGACTTCTAAGAATGTTGCTACTTGTAAGCTATTCTCTGATATCTTAGAATAAAAAATAGAACTTCATATAATTTTGAACACTCTGGATATAGCATTCAGTCCTATATAATTGACAAGCAATAGCAGAATCATAGAATCAATACAATTGTGCCAGCTGCCTTCCCCTTCTTGGCCTATAAAACAATTAGCTCTGGACAGGGGTCTCTGTAACAAGGACTTTTGCTTGTGTTCTTGATTAAAATGTAAATAGTAATCCCTATCATAAGAGACTCGAGAATGTAAAAAATATGTTAATTTTCAGGAATTGTAGCATATTACATTTAAAGACATACGGCAAAAGTAATTCTGATGCTTGGAAACAGAAACTCAGATTAAGATTTTGCAATTTTTTTAGAAAATGTGTAAGTGCAAGCGCACATTCAAACATGTACAAGTAACTTGTGCAATTCAGTGAGGCCGCTAGCACATTTGTAAATGTACGATGAGCACAGGGGGCTGGACTGGATGACCTCCCGAGGTCTCTTCTAACCCTGTGATTCCATGATCAATTCAAGATCTTCCAGTGAAAAATGTTAGTAATTGATGATGATAGGAATTAGGGCAATAATATCAATTAAACATTTAAAGTATAATTTTAATTGTTTAACCAGTTAACCATGGAGGGATGGTACATTGAGGCTGGGGCTGGGGTCCCAAGGTGGAGGCTCATCCAGGCAGGAGACCCCATGGCTTGGTACTGCCAGCTGGCCCAGTATGGGCAGGAGGCTCCTGTAGCCTGATCCGCCATAGTTAGTAGCTGCTCTGGCCAGGCCTGCCAGGCCACAGGAGGGGGGCTGTTCTAGCCAGGCTGCCAACCCGCAAGTGGGGGGCTGCTCCATCTGGCCCGGCACAGCTGGGGATTTCCTCCTTCCAGGCCCATTCCTTCAGTTATCCAGTTACCAGATAAGCATGCTGGTAAGGCTAATGCTTACCAGACAACCAGTTAACTGGTTAACTTTTTCCATTCCAAATGGGAATAAGCTTTTACCAAACAAATGCAGAGGATGTTGGCAGTGATGC